CCCACGTGGCGGCTAGTGATTGGCTTGCTAGCCGTATAAGAGGCTTGAGCGGTTTCCGCCCAAGTTGGAGAACTCTGAGGAGAACCCCACAAGGGAGGACTCCACAACCATCTGGAGGAGGAGGACTTCAGGTCTCATGAAGATCTCTAAGCGCTGCGGAGCCTATCGAACCCAGCGCAGGCTATAGGGGTCTGATCAACCTCTGGCCTCTCCCCATCGCTGAACGATCCCTCGACGAACCCCTTCACTGCGCGCAAGTTCCACGGAGCCTAGCAAACTTCGTGTGAGTGTATCCAGAGCTCGTCTCCGAGTTGTTTTCTTCGGTTGACACGACGGGCTCGCGTGTTTAGAGCCTTCAACCGGATTGGGCTAGAGTTCGCGTGGAAGGAACTCTTGTCCGCCTCTCTTCTTTTCTATCTGTAACCGCAACCCAAGCAAGTTTTCCTGCCTGCACCGCGACCATCTTTGGTGTAAGTAAAATAATCTTTAATCAACCGTTAAGCGTCTGTGCCTAATTCTAGACCGCCGGCCTGCATTCCCCGACCCGGCGTGTCCGGGCTGCCAGCCACAGCCCGCCACGCACCCCTGAGGGCCTCAGACCACTCCCGGCCCGCACATGTACAACAGGGGCCAAGTTGCTCAGGCTGGGACAGTTCTGGGTATGCCCAGAAACAGAACTTGTGCCACGTGGGGAGCTTTAAAGTTACCTCCACGGTTTAGATTGGTATGAGGGAGATTTTTGGATTTTAAGTAGCTCACTTCTGTATAAGTCCTGTTTCCTGCTGGATCTGTCCCAGAATTACTTTCTACCTGGCATATTACAAGAGCTAATTCTGAAGTACCACAAACAGAATGACCCAAAGTTCATCCCCCACCGCTTATTTATGTTACATGCATTATGATTTTGGGCTTTGCTATTTAATTTCTCCCTTTGAAAATAACAGGGAAAACAAAACACAAGAACCCTTCACCTCTATTATAATCCCTGCCTTGTAGTTCAGCGGAAGAAATTAAATGCCACAATCCAATGTGATTCTGTTCAGTGTTAATGGATTGTATTTATTGTCCTGAAAATGTGATTATGTTATACATTTGTTTTTAATTTTTAATTTCCAAGTGGGAGGCTTATGGCCCTTCATTTGACAGGATAGAGAACAGAAGGGCCTCTGGTGATGGATGCACCTTAGTCAGTGCAGAAATTTTCTTGTGCCTCTGGCATGATGCAGTTGCAGTGGCTCCTTTGGGAAAGTCATGCTGTCAACAGAGGAAGAATTAAGGAGTCTATTGTAAAGGAGCAAACTGTGAAAAAAATAAGAGAAATTGTAAATGCAGCCAACTGAAGATGGAGCAAGATTGGAATATTTTTAAGTAAAAGGTGCAAAAACTGGCAGGAATTTGTAACCTAAGTAAAGGAGACAAACTTCTAGCATGAGGCTCTAGTTACCTAAACTCCTTGAACAAGGTAATAGGTGTAAACTGAGCTCAATCGCAAGGGGGGACTAATCAGTAAAGAAAGCTAGGTCTTGGAGGTCAGAAAGTGTAGGGAGAAAGTGAGAATTGCTCAAAATTTGAGCTAAGGTAGACTTTGCTCAGGGAATTAAAAGATAAGTTTCTTTAGTCACATACTAATAAAAAACAAAGAAAAAATGGGCTGCTGTGTAATGGGGGTAGGGTAGAGATTAAAAGCAAATGCAACATAGCCCAGAAAATAAATGAATATTTTTGCATCCGTTTGCAATAACAAGGATATTGAATTGCAAGTAAAGGCAAGATGACTAATGGGAATGAGGATAAGGGAATTAATCATATCCAAGCCAGAAGCAAAACTCAAAGATATTAATGTGTTCAAGTCAGACTGATGGGAAGATCTTTATCCCAGAATTTGGGAAGAACTAGCACATGAAACTGCATAATTTTGAATACATCTATCAAGTTGAGGGTAGTCTTCAGAATAGCAAGTGTAATAATGCCTATATTTAAGAAAGGGGAGAAAAATGATCCAGGCAATTACAGACCCATTAATCTGACATCAATAGTATGCAAAATTCTAGAATCAGCATTGAAGGGAAGGAGATTTAAAGACAGAGTAAAAAATGGGATAAAATGCAAGTGTGGATTTGCCAAATGTTCTATAGCATCAGTGAGGCTACAGTGCAATACAAACTCCAGCCCAGCCCAATGTCAACTCACGAAGGCCCCTCTACACGTGCAGGTAAAGGTGCGATGGGATCTAATGCAGGATCCACACACTCGCATCTCCTGCCATCCTGCATGGGATTGTTCATTAGATCCTATTGTGCCTTATTGCCAGTGCAGGGGGAGTCTGATCCCAGGCTTCCCCTGCACTGCCAAGAAGCAAGTTCCTGCAGCTGGGAGCCCCTTCAATTGAGGCTGCTACCATATCCCAGCCTTAAGGGGTTCACGCATCCCTGAGACAGCCATGCCCCCAGCTGCTTGGACTGAACTGGGTCCTGGCAACCAGCATCCATAGCTGCAGGTCTTTGGGTCCTTGTACTGCCAGGATCCAGAGTCAGCAGCTGTTGGGGCTGGCAGTCCCCTCAGTTGCAGCAGCATGGTGCACCCCTGCTGCCCCATCAGTTGCAATGGAGACCCTGCTACATGTGCAGATTTTAAAGCTGCGTAGGAACCTGCTATAGAGTTTGTACCCATTTTTGAGGTCTAAGTTAATAGCTGGTTGGATCTTTTTATGATGCGATACCTACTGTGCAAGTGTGGCTGGTCTTAACTGGTTAATTGTGCAATTAATTACCTTAAGTGTGTGATGCCTGCAATGAATGTGTGGAGAGGGGTTAAGAGTCAGAGCTATCGTTTTTATGTTGTGAGCCATACAGCCTTCTAGGGGAGTTCTTCACTCACGCAAACAGTAACTTCCCCTTCCCCGGCACTGAGAATGTGTTGTAGTTCTGAATGCTGCATCTACAAGGGGCAGTTTAGAATTAAAACAGCATGTTTCAGCAGGGTGAATACAACATTTTAAAAAGATTATTTTATATGTTCTAAAGAAAATGCCAGAGGGAAGAACACAGACATTTTTTCATACCTGTTAAGTAAAATTATGATAAGCAGCTTGTTTAGGAACAAATGCCTAAGGTAATGTTCAACTGTATGCAAAGCATTATCTGGTTACAAATACTTTATTTTTATGATAAACATTGCATTTATGTCTACCACTTTACAACCAAGAATATTTAAACTCTTTATAAACTCCATTAAATGAACCTTCTCAAAGTTCCTGTGGAGGAGGAAGGCATTATGACGATGGAAAAAAATAAAATAAAATAAACCTAGACATAGCAGAAATGACTTGCCTGTGATTGGAAGCTTTGTTTGCTAGAGCATACAAATAAATGTCCCTTGTTTTATGTCATGTGTTGTTTATAGTTACTTTTTTTCCCTGTCTGTGCACCTCTATATGTAGATACTCATTACTATTTTTAAAAACTCGTCTTTCTGACTATATGGGCACTGTTGTTCCCCATAGAGGCAATTAGTTTATAAGCTTCTTCGATTCTCCCTAGCAAGAAGGGTTGTGCTAATAGGATGGGGTGGCAACACTTGAAAATTATGGTTGATTTTGTGAATATCATAGTAAACAACTAGTATTTTTTTAATAAACCTCTGTTGAAAGCTCATTGCTTTAAGACTATAACTTTATCACTTATTTGTGGTCTCGACCCCTTTGATCTCCATGGTAACTTAACTATCGTTAGGTTTCTCTGGTTGCTAAACTTGGACATGAGGTTCTGTTGTGAGAAGATTCTCATCTACCGCGCCAAGCTTGATTCTTCCCTACCTTGAACCTCATACTCTAATCTAAATAGTAACCTTTCATAAGCGCTTTGCACAGGGACATATTACACTATAAAGTGAAGACAATGTAAAATCAGGTCCTCTCTGAGAATATAGTCCTCTGACTGAATGCAAAGGCAAAGTTATCAAGAACAAGACAGGCCTGGAGTTTTTTAGTCTAGTAGCAAAACAGATGTAGGCATTTAATAGGGGTGGGTGAGTGAAAAACTCAAGCAGACCCTTGGGTCATTCCAACCATAAGCAGTGGAAGGCCAGGGCTAATGGCTTGCCAAATGCAGGGCAGCAGGTAGGGCCACAGGACAGCCCAGCCACAGGCTCCAGGCTGCTGCAGTCAGGGGTAGGAAGGGTGCACACACTCAGACATGCAGCCAGGATCACAGGCCTGGCATGTGGATTACTGGTCAGGCTCTCAGTCTGTCAGCAGGGGATTCTCTAAACAGTTCGGCATGTAGGGGTCTCCAAATTCTCTCCAGCCAGTGTCCAGTATTTATGAATGGTTGGTAAGC